GGAAATAGAGGAAATAAAAAATTTCAGGAGAATAGAATAAACCAATTATAAATAGAATAAACCAAATGGAAGCAGAAATCAGTGAACTTGAAGATGAAAATGAACAAAAAATATGGAAAAAGGGAGAAATGCAGTAAATAAAATGAATAAACACAATGAGAATTTTACAATTCCAAAAATTCAATAAAGAAATACAACAAAAGAATAATGGGTATACTGGAAAGGGGGGTGGAGAGAAAGAGATAGAAAATGTATTCAAATAAACAATAAAGTAAATATTCCTGAATCTAAAAGAGGGCTGAATTACAAATAAAGTGAGCTAAAAGACCAAAACAAAATCTACACTAAGAATGGAATACATGTTGCAAATTCATAAAGATAAAAAGAGCTAGCCAAGAGTACTCTATCTTGCAAGGTTTTCATTCAGATATGAGGGAGAAATAAGGCCCTTTTAGAGATTGAGAAATTGAAAGTTTTTGTAAATACAGAAAAATAAAAATATATTTCATGTTTAAAATTAGCAACAAATTAAATATTATTAATTAGCCTGATTGATAGGAGCCCTTCTTGATCTGATTATTTTTGTGGGTTATATCTTATGTTGAGATATTTTATAATAAAATATCAGTGACATCAAAATAGAAATGATTGTGTTATCAGGTCATTACCACATTCATAACTCATTTAATTTCAAAGAATGCAAAGCCATTGAAGATACTGATACAGGGCAGCAAAGGGCACTAAAACTGGCTAAGGACACAGCCCAAAATATTTACCAGTCACTGTCTGAGTTCTTCACCTTTATGCACAATTTCAAGACTACTCAGGCTCAGAGAACAAAAACAATAGGATTTACTTAACAAACCAAGGAAAAACAAAGAGTTACTGAGGCCAAAAATGTGCGTTTATCTCACCTGAAGCCATGCCCAATGTTTTTAAATCCTAAACAAATATATCTAACATGGTGTCTTCCTGCCACTGCAGATGCAGAGCTCCTTTCCCTAACAATAGGCCATGTGCCCAAGAGGGTGTTTTCCTGACACTGTGGACATGGCAGAAAGACTATAGGCCTGGTTCCAACTCACGAACACAACAGAAAACACAACAGGAAATGCTCCCAGAGCTGCCAATATATCCCACCACCACACCAGACAAGCAACACTCTAAGCAGTAGTTGCAGTAGCTGAACAATTGGATAAACGGCCACATTCAGCAGCTCAGCAAGGTGCCTGGCTTTTGCTTTAGGTCTTTGCCTTCTCTGCCAGACTGTTACAGTAGCACAATGGGGAACAGTTTCACTCACTGGCCTCCGAATATTGCACAGCCTCTGAACTTTGCCTTTTTGAGGTTGACTGATGAAGACCTCTCCATGTTCAAAGGCCCACAACAGCCTTCTGGAAGATTCACGGTGGGAGACAAAATTGCTGACCCTGAAAATGCTGAATCCTAAATGCTGAATGTTCAAATGTTGAATCCAGAACACTGAATAGGGCCTCCCCAGTGGTGCAGTGGTTGAGCACTGTGCTGCTAAGCTGCCTGCTGTCTCTGCAGCACCGGTTTGATCCCCGACCGCCGGCAAGGGTCCCACATGGTGCACAGACCTCTCCTGCCATGTCTGCTGCTCCCCTCAGCAGTGTATTTCATCAGTCTGCCTGTTCTGCTCCCCGCTCTGTCTCTGGTGAATTCTCTCACCCTCCCATGCTTCTGACTGTACCCAGTGCTTCTATAAATAAATAAATAAATCAATCTTTGAAAAAAAAAGAGAACACTGACTAATCTGCTGCTGTTTCTCCAGTCCCTTATATTTCTTATCAGTTGCTCCCCTCAAAATGTGATACTTTTTGGTATTTTCCCTCACTAGCAACCCCCACTAGCAACCTCCACCTTAACAGACTTTGGCTTCAGCCACCGATTACAATACCTTCCTTAGCAACAAGAACATCTATAAAAAATAATATCAAAATATTTATTCCATGTAGCTAAAAGTGCATGACTCCTCTTTGCTATGTTTCCTGTCTCTCAAACATGTAACTGGTATATTTTTCTGCATTCTAACCTATTCAGAATATATTATATAAAACTTGCAGTTAAAATGATGCAAGTGAAATTCATTAAAATATTATTTATCTTACTAATTATTCTAACCTATAACATGTAAGTTTTTCCCATTATACAGTTTTTATAAAGTATGAGTGAAGATTTTGAATTTAAAAGTGTCTTAAATTACAATTCAGTAGTTAAAGTATTCTTTGTTAAATCAATAACCTATATATTTTTTCTTGAATGAAGACATTAAGTATATATTTTATGGGTGGGAGAAATTGGTTTTCCAAAATGGATCCTTGTCATTATTAATGATTTTCCTAGAGAGAAGCATAAATTTACTAAAAAAAAAATCTTCAACTTTTAAATTTTTATTTACTTATTTATTTTTAAAGATTTATTTATTTATACAAGAACCAGGGTACAGGCCAGGGGTGTGGGGGTTGAGAAGATTTACCAGAGACAGAGTGGGAAACAGAACAGGCAGACTGACGAAATACACTGCTGAGGGGAACAGTGGGTGAGCCAGGAGAAGTCTGGGGCACCATATGTGACCCCTGCCCACTGGCCAGGATTGCACCAGCACTGCAGAGGCTGCAGACAGCTTCACAGAGCTGCGCTCAACTGCCTGTGCCACTAGGGGGGGCCCAATAAATACATTTAAAACAAAATCAGTATGGAATAGATAGCTCTGACAGAATGGACACACACACTATTTTAGCGCAGAAAGGATTCCTCTATACCAGTTTTTACACAGTGGCTGTTTAACATTCCTGCCCTCTTTTGTTTTGTGGTGGGTGCACTCTACAAATCTACTTATAATTTCATTCCAATCACACAGGAAATTACTAACATATTTTCTGCCACCAAATAGAGCTAGGTGTCACCCAAAGTAGAGTAAGTACAAACATGACATTTTTTTTGATTGTCTTAGTGAAAGACTGATTGCATTATATACAGACTTGTTGTCATATCAAGGAAAGAAAATTAATTGAGACCAAAATAGAGGATATGAACATTATGAGTTGTATTTAATGAGTATAAAGTGTCAATATGTGATTAATGATCTTAAATCATTATGGAAGAAAAATAGGAAAAATAAAATGTGTCTTAGTGATAAATCATGAGTGTGTGTGCATCCATACACAATGCAATCCTATATTCAACTATAAAAAAAAAGATGAACTGGAGAACAATAAAACTTACTGAATTAAGTCAGAAAGAGAAAGATAAATACAGAATGATCTCACTTATACTTACATACAAACAGAATGAAGGATTAGACAAAACCAAGCCAATAATAAACCCTTGACATCTAATTGCAAAACTGAGGCAACCAGAGGAAACAGTGATAGGACTGATTTGGACAAGAAGAGGCACTAATGGAACACGGTGGAGTATTATTTGGGCTCTCGTGGTGGATATGTAAGAACATACATTTGTAGAGGTTTGAACCTACAACCCCAAAACCAGATATAATTATGCAAACCAAACTTTATTTCAATAAGCTTAATTGGAAAATATGCATATTTCTTCTTAGTGATTTTTAAATATATTGAAAGTTTGCTTTAGAAATACCATAAAATAAAATAAAAATGCTTTGTTTTTGTGAATGCACACAGTTTAATATCTGACAATTAATAATTCTAAAATTTATAAATATACCAGCTATTTACACTTTGTGATTATTGAAATTTTGAGTAAAATTTCTTCTAATTAAAATGAAATGTGTTCTTCCATATTTTAAAAAGAAATAATAAGTTATAATTGATTTATCAACCAGCCAACATTTTGAAGATTGTCCCCCAATTTTTTAACTTGATTTTGTTTTTAAAATTATTATATTTACATAAACTGTTGCCATAGTTTTCTTATTACTAGTGTTTTGTGCAAGTGTAGTATACTTTTTTAGAATTAAGAAGCCAATAGTGAGGAATTATTATTAAGACAATTGCATAGTTTTCATTAGGATTCACTCAGTATTTTGACAAATTAATAGTCATGTATTAAACTGTGCTGTGTCATAGAGAATATTTTCACTACTCTAAATGCTCTGTGTTCCACCTATGAACTGATTTGTTTTTAATTAAAAACAACACCTAGTGTTATTTTAAGGCCAGTTTTTAAGTGCTATTATAACATTTTATAAGGAACATTTTAAATATAGAGCTAATACGAGATTATCTCACATTTGTAAAGAGACATCAAAGTTAGTGCATACTTTTTTTTTTTTGTTTGAAGACTTACTAGTTGTAATGGAAAGTAATTGCAAACAGATATGTTTAATAAACATAGAGACTTTAGCAGTGATATTTCAGGTGTAAGGAAATATAAATTTTAAAGAGGAAAAACCCCAAATTTTTCTATGTATTTACATGTTGCAGGGATTGTTCTTAGAAGTAAGTTACAAGTCTTCCAATTTTGGAAATGAGTAAGAATATTAATTTTGTTTTTTTTTCAAAGATTTATTTGTTATGTATTTATACATACAAGCACTGTATTTATACATACAAGCACTGTATTTATACATACAAGCATACAAGCACTGGGTATAGTCAGAAGCGCGGGAGGGTGAGAGAATTCACCAGAGCCAGAGCGAGGAGCAGACAGGCAGAAGGACCAAAGTACACTGCTGAGGGGAGCAGCGGGCAGCAGGAGAGGTCTGTGAGCCATGTGGGACCCTCCTCCGGTGGCCGGGGAGCAGCCGGGGATCGAACCCGCACCGCAGAGGCTGCGGGCAGCTTCACAACCCAGCGCTCAACCGCTGCGCCACCGGGGAGGCCCAAGAATATTAATTTTGAATCATTTTTATTTATTTTTTAAATATTTTATTTTATATAATTCTTACATAATTTTTCATTTTTGCACAATGTATGCATTTTCATTTTGGTTATATTCCCCAATTTTGAATCATTTTTAAACTCATCTCATTAAAGTGTAAATGTCTTGAAAAATTATCATATAACTTCTTTAAAAACCATTGTCGTAATTTTCATTATGGCCTCTTTTATCTGATGGTTTCGAAGACTATAGATAATAGGGTTTAAGAAAGGAGGGACAATACTATAGAATACAGAAGTGATCATGTCCTGATAGTCAGATGAGTAGGATGTGGGTTTCAAATACACAGCAGCAGCTGAGCTGACAAAGATCGTTAACACGAGGATGTGAGGGACACACGTGGAAAAAGCCTTTCCTCGTTCTCTTCTGGTTGGACACTTTAGCACAGTAGAAAATATGCGAATGTAAGATGTGGTAATGAAGGCAAAGCAGCCACCAGAAAGCAACAAGGCAGGAATAAAAATTGCAATTTCATTGCTGAAGGTGTCAGAACAGGAGAGCTTCAGCAGAGAGGGAATGTCACAGAAAAACTGGTGTATCAAGTTGGACTGACAGAAGGACAGACGGAATGTGTTGCCTGTGTGCAATCCTGAGTAGACCACACCAGCAAGTATAGAGGCCAGTGTCATGTGACCACAGACTTGAGGGTTCATGATCACTGGGTAGTGCAGGGGCTTGCAGATGGCCACATAACGGTCATGGGCCATGATGGTGAGAAACAGAAGCTCTGCAAAAGCAAGTAAGAGCACCAGGAAAACCTGAAGTGCACATCCAACTATGGAGATTGATGTGTTGTCCAGCAGGAAGATGAGGCACGCTTTGGGTACAGTGACAGAAATGTAGCACATGTCTAGAATAGATAAATTCCTAAGGAAGAAATACATGGGTGTGTGAAGATTTTGATCAAATATGGTCACAGTGACAATGAGAAGGTTTCCCATTAGGGTTGCCAAGTACATCAGTAAGAATAGCACAGTGTGCAAGACTCGAAACTCCCATACATCAGAAAATCTCATAAGCAGGAATTCAGTCACAATAGTAGAGTTGGAGATCCTTGGGTAATTTTCCTTGGACATAAATAACTCCTAAAAAGACGAAAATCAATAAAAGGGAACAAATTAACTTAAATATGTTTATCAACTCACATTTCCAATTTTATTCTATTTAGAATCTATATGTATGTATACTTTTATATATCTTCAGTTTTGCTGCTTGGAAAATTTATTTCCCAGCTAGAGGTCGTGGCTGTAATAAGACATTTGGATGTTGTTTACATAAATGACAATAATGAAGATCAAAGATTTTTCTGGAAGACTGAGTTAATATACATAATTTCTATACATCTTGACTTATTAGAAACATTTTTATAAATGTTCACACTTATCTTTAGTTAATGAAAAAACATAATTGATTAGAGATTGTAGATTGTTCTTTAACAGAAAACAAAGCATGCTTTCTTTATTAAGTAATAATTTAAGCCTCTGCTGATGTCTCCATGTATTCTCCCATTTTAAAAATAACATATTCTCCTGGCAAAAAAAAAAAACAAATGTCATAATTCTGGCAAGTTTCTAAAATAATCTCAGTTGATATTTTTTGAAATAATACTGCCTGTAGTAATCTCACATAAAACATATAAATTTCTGAATTTCATTACTTTATTTACAAATTCCATTTTTTTAAAAAGAATATCATCTTTTTTAAATTTGATGGAACTCAAGTTTATGTCTTAATCTTTGTGGGACCCTCAACGGCGGCCAGAGAACTAACCGGCACTGCAGAGGCTGTGGGCAGCCTCGCAGCCCAGCACTCAACCGCTCTGCCACCAGGGGAGGCCCTTCCTCATGATTTTAATGGATATAGATATATGGATTTAAAGATCACCTCATTAGATATTGCAAACATTTTAAAATGCACTTCTGGGCCCCCAGTTTGATACCCGGCCTCTGCAAGGGTCCCACATGGCATGCAGACCTTGCCTGCTATGCCACTGCTCCCCTCAGCAGTGTACTTCATCAGTCTGCTTATTCTGCTCCCAGCTCTGGCTCTGGTGAATTCTCTCACCCTCCCGTGCTTCTGACTGTACCCAGTGCTTGTACAAATAAATAAATAAATCTTTTAAAAAAATGCATTGCTTTTGAGGAGTTACCTGGGTAAGTGTGAACTTATAGTGTATAATTAATTTCCATCTTTGGATTTTCTAATTGCATTTTTTATTTTTTGTGTAGAAGAACTGGAGTATAGGCCAGAGGTGTGGGGTTGAGAGGATTCACATGAGACAGAGAAGGGAGTAGAACAGGCAGATTTCTAAAATACACTGTAAGAGGAGTAGCAGGAGAGACAGGAGAGGTCTGCTGCACCATGTGATTTGCTCCCTGGCCTGGCATTGAATTTAGGACATAAAGGTGATAACCTTTAGGATATAACCCTTAAGCCACCAGGGAGGCACTGGATTTTCTAATTGTAAACATTTCCTTACAATAAATATGAAGTTCCATATTTAGGGGACAAATATTGCTAGACATGATGATTTTATTGAAAATGTGATTTGGGCCCTCCTGGTGGCCTAGGGGTTGAGTCTCAATGCTATCACACTACTACAGAAGCAGCCTGAGTTCCATCCAACCAGGAAGCAAACCCACATGGCACAGCAGAACTCTCCTGCCTCACCCACTGCTCCCCTCAGCAGTGTGTTTCAGTGGATCTGACTGTTCTGCTCCCCACACTGTCTGTGGTGAATCCTCTCATCTCACCCCCCATACCACTGACCTGCACCCCAGATCTTGTACGCAAAATTAAAAAAAAATCTTGAAAAGAAAATATTCATGCACTTTTAAATTTAATAACAATGAATATTAATGGTTTTGTTGAATAGGAATAATGTGTGCAAACATCTTTCCTTACAACATATAAAAATAAATAATAATTAAAAGAATCACTAACAACATTTTCAAGTTGAAAATGTTAATCTGTCTAGTCTTCTGTCTTGTGTAAAACATTGTTCCCCCCCAATGTGAACTTGAATCAACTGAAAAAGAGTTTGATTCTTTCACATTTGCTATTTCCATGAAATTCTGTTTATTGGTTAGTAGTAAAGAAATATTGTGCCTATACCAATTCCCTATTAATTTCCCTTTTTATAATTGTCCATGTAAACTGTGAAGATAAATATGCATTTTTTCAAAGCTTGCATGAAGAATTTCCATAATAACAAATTGAACCATGACTGTAAAATTGAGACTGCAAGATGGGGAGGGGGCACGTGGAGAGCAAAGTGTGGAGGGGGCCCTAAGGACTATGGCTGAGGACTATGGGTGTCTTGTTGTGGTTGTGGTGCATTAATGTACATCTACAAAAAGGGTGCTTCTTTATCAGCAGCCACTGCAGCACGAGTTCGATCCCCAGCCAGGAATGTGACCCCCATGGCACAGCAGACCTCTCCTATCCGGCCTGCTGTCTCCCTCAGTAGTGTATTTCAGTTAATCTGCCTGTTCTGTTCTGCTTGCCACTCTGTCTGGTGAATTCTCTCACCCCCCACACTCTGGCCTGCACCCCAGCTCTTACATGCATAAATGAATAAAATAAATTTTTTAAAAATAGAATAGGTATGCTTCTATAGTTCCGAGCTATACAGTATTGTAAACCAAATGTTACCTTGATAAAAAAAATCAATTTTTTAATCTATTCCTGGCTGAATAAACTCTAAAATGCAGCCCATTTCTACTGGGCTCGTTTAAACTGCATATTTCCCAGATTTGTTATATTTAATTCTCAGCTATTCTATGATAATGGAACAGTTGCCAAGCTCACACACATAACATTCTATTTCTTTGCTCCTGGAGAACCTCACAGCAAGAAAACAGGGGAGGTGTTACTCTCTGATTGACCTCCTGCTCACACGATGAAAGCTTTTTTCACTTGCTCCTGGTTGAAGCTATTTATTTCAGAATGCTTCAAAATGTTTTACTGATTGATTGGTTTTGGTTGTTTTTTTTTTATTTTCAATCAATATGCTTATTGATATTTTGTTGATAGAATCTCACAATCAATGTAGTTAAGAATAGTTTCTTTAAAATTTCTAACCCATTATTTCATTTTCATTTTGAACTTTGAAGTCTTAAAAGTAAACTTTTCCTCACAAAACTTGATATTTGATGATGTCCTATAGTACATAAATATAGATTTCCACAGTTCAAACACAGAATTAAAACACTTTGTTTATTTCTCCATCACCAATAATTTCCTCATTCTAGACTGGATTTATATTTGGCAGCATAGCAAAATTAAAACTTCACAGACTTCAGGGGAGGATGTATCCAACCATCTGACTCTTCTGTATACTTGTTATGTAGAGGCTGTGAAGCATCTGTGAAACTCAGATTCCTTGCCTATTAAAATGCCAAGTGATATTCACCTCATAAATTCAACATTTGTAAAATATTTCAAGTAAAAGAGGTATGCAAAATAACCATGTTGAAGAAATGCAAACAAGAACTACAAATCAGTGAAAACATTACATTTAGTCCCTCCTGCACTTAATTTTTTTGCACCTTAATTCTATAATACCATTGCTTTAAAACAAACAAGTAAAAAAGTACAAGTCCAAATCTGTATTTGGTCCTGAAATTTTCTCTTGAATGGAATAAGCCAATATAAAATATTCTTAATTTATTTGAATAGAGAGTGACAGCTGACACTATTATCTTTACCTGAAGCCTGACTGGTGCCAGGGAAATATACTGAATAATAAAGTTTTACTTGAGTAACTACAACAGTATATGTATGTTCTTGTCACTCAAATCATAAAAATAAATGATTTTCCACTTTTCTTCAAAGACTTGAATGATGCATTTTTCATGAGGAATTGGAAATGCATATTTTATTTGTGAGTAGTTTATCCTCTTGTTTATTGAGTCATACCCCCAAATTTTAAATTTATATATAGTTTACCCAAAATTTAAAAAAATATGCATGAGTTATATTCAGACATTATTCTGGAAGTGGTGGGAATCATCAATGAAAACTGATTCAAGGGCCTCCCCTGGTGGCGCAGCAGTTGAACACTGGGCTGTGAAGCTGCCTGCAGCCTCTGCAGCGCCGGTTCGATCCCCGGCCGCCAGCAAGGGTCCCATATGGCGTGCAGACCTCTCCTGCCGCCCGCTGCTCCCTTCAGCAGGGTATTTCGTCAGTCTGCCTGTTCTGTTCCCCACTCTGGCTCTGGTGAATTCTCCCACCCTCCTGTGCTTCTGACTGTACCCAGTGCTTGTATAAATAAATAAATAAATCTTTAAAAAAAAAAAAGAAAACTGATTCAAGATAAAAATAAATTAACTGCTTATAATACTCTACAACAAAATCCAGGAATTACACTTGACATATAAGGGATTGCAAATATATTTTACTTTTAATTTTTATTATAAGGATTCTCTTACACAATTTTTGCCATCTGGATATATAGCATTGTTTTTTAACAAAGAGCATATAACAGAAAATAATCATTTAAATTGTTAAATGAATAGCATGAACACACAGATTCTTATTAATATAATTTTAGTTATAACTCAGGCTAACTGAGTTATATTTGTAAGTATGAATTTAAATACCTGCATGCAGTGGTAGTATGAAGAGATACATCGCTCTCTGCCTGTGTTGCTGAGTCAACTCAGTCCAGTGCCTACGGCCACATGCTGCACACATCTGTGAACAGCTAAAACATTCCACTAAAAATACTGAAAGTGGGGCTTAGTTTTTCTTATTCAAATGGGTCTTATGTGTGAATAGCTATTTTATCTTAATTTCCCATTCTAATCTCATTGATAGCCTCTCAAAAACAAATAAAGAGGAAGAAGAAAATGGGGAGGGGTACTTTTTGAAGGTAGGTCAATAAAGAGAAAATAGATCAATAACAATAGACTCACAAGTTGGTGGTGTATTTTAGAGAGTTTAGGCAAGGCAGGATTTCTGATAAGGTTCCAATAAAGGTTCAGGCAAAAGCAAGATGAGGATACATTTCCTTGAGATGATTGAGTTCCTGATAGTAATCCTTCCGTTTTATAACCAAAAAAAGAAAAAGAAA